GCCCAAGATGGCCCTAATATATATATATATATATATATATATATATATATATATATATCCTACTCGGCTCCATTTGGGGTCACGATTCCTTCAGATAGCCTCCGAGGCGGCCAAGACGCCTCCAAGACATCCTTTCGGAAAGCCCGAAGAAGCTAAAATGATAGATTTCCCGTTGGTTTTTGACGGATTCCCGCAGTTGTTTTTTTCCGCCTGCCGACGGTCCAGATGGCTCAAGAGGATCTCAAAATCGCCCCCAGAGCACCCAAGAGGCCTCCACGATAGCCCCGTGACGGCCCAAGAAGCCCCAAAGACGGCTCCAGGAGGGCCCCAAGACGGCCCAAGAGGACTCAAAACGGCCGAGATTGAATCCCAGGCAGCCCCGAAGCGCTCCAAGCGGGCTCGAAGACTACGAACACGGGCCTCAAAGACAACTTCCGACAACGTCCGACGGGCCAGGAACGCTCTAAGACAACCAAAGAAGCCCCCCCCAAGAAGCCCCCAAGAATCCCTAAGAATTCCAAGGATGTCCCAAAAGGCTTCCAAGACGCCCCCAGGAAGCTCCCTGGGCACGAGGCGGGGGAGACCGGGAGGGGTCCTTGATTTCATGGGGACACTGGGCCGCCAGGGACGCCCCCAGACGGCCCAAGAAAACACCAAAACGTATGAAAACAGCCCGGAGAGGCTTCAAAGAGGCCTACAGTCGCGGAAATATTGTACTAACACGCCCAAAGTGGCTTCCAGATGGCCCAGAAGGCTTCCAACACAGCCAAAGGGGTCTCCAAGAACACTCCGACAAAAGGGCCCCAAGAAACCAAAATCATTGTTTTTCCTTTTCATGGTGCTTGTGCATTTTAGCGATTCTGCTTGGTCCGCTTCACGACGCTCCAAGACGGTCCAGGATATTTGGATATCATCCAAACAAGCTCCCACGAGGGCGCCGAGACGGCCCAAGGCCGCCCCCAGACGGCCCAGGACAGCCCCCATACAGGGCTCCACCGAAGGCCCCAGTGGGACCGACCGCATGCGTCATCCACCACTCAGTACAGCGTTTCGTGGCCCCATAGTGGGCTCCACCGAAGGCCCCAGAGGGACCGCCCGCATGCCTCATCCACCTCCCAGTACAGCGTTTCGTGCCCCCACGGGGAACTCCACCTAAGGTCTCCGTGGCGGGTTTCGCATGGCGGCCCGGTGGCGCGGAGATCGCATGGCGGCGACTTTCGGTTTTCGAATGTTTTTCGTGGTATTCGACGGGTTGAGGCCGCTTTCGGGCCGCGCATCCCGGGCGGGAGCCAGCCTGCTCGCTCTCTCTGCTCCGCGCAGCGGACGACCCGCGCGCGTCGCCGGGACCCTTGCGGGCCGACCAGCGCGCGTCGCGGGGACTCCGTGCTGCGCCGCGCCCGCAGCCTTGGACGTGGGCGTGCACGGGCAAAGACGGAGAAAAAGAACGGGACGGAAGCGGGCGCGATTTTCGTGAAAGGCGTGCCGAGATGGGCGTAGATATTTACGCACGTCGACTCACGCGCGCGCGTACTCATCCACAATCTGACTCACTCGCTCTCAGTCTGTCGAACACAGACCTATCGTCTTCGCTCGCGTTGTGTGCCCCGCCACGCATGTCGGCTCGCCCCACATACGGTTCGTGGCCCCATAGGGAGCGCGGGCGAAGATGATATTCAAAATTGCTGTATTCACACGTGCGTATGGTTGGGTCCTTCGCCCGGCTAGTTTGTTTCTACTGTATTATGCCATGTCTTGCTCTGCCCTAACATATTTTATGTCGTGATGACTGGTTCCGTCTTCGACGGGCCCGCATGACGTCGTGACGCCTGTCGCGTTCGATACGTAACCGGTTCGGTCATGGTATGTTATCGTCCAACGTTTCTGATTATATTTGATTGTTTTGTCGCGGCCTTACGTCGGGGCGCATTATGCGTTTAATATGATGACATCAATCGGTCGTTTCCTTTTTTTTTTGGTGGTGAATTCTGTTAGGTTTAGTTACGCGCTCTGGTTGATTAGTATTATGTAATGGTCTGTTCTGCTCCCGACGGGCCAGCGAGACGTCGTGACGCCTGTCACGTTTGATAGCTGTACTAGGCAATGCTCCAGGCTCACCTACGCTACACCTTTGAATTCAAGTAGGTTTTTTATATAAAAAACTTTCAGTGCGACCCTACCTACGAGTTGGCGTCCCTAGGAAAGCAGCATTCGTAGTAACAGTAAAGCTATGCCAAAGCTAAGCTAAAGCTGGGCTGACGCTAAGCTAACAGCTAAGCTAAAGCTAAGGTAGAGCTAAGCTAAAACGAAGCTAAAACTAAGCTAAAACTAAGCTAAAGCTAAGCTAAAGCTAAGCTAAAGCTAAGCTGAAGCTGAGCTGAAGCTAAGCTGAAGCTAAGCTAAAAAGCTAAGGTAAAGCTAAGCTAAAGGTAAGGTAAAGCCAAGCTGAAGCTAAAACTAAAGCAAAGCTAAAGCTAAGCTAAAGCTAAGCTAACGCTAAGCTGGAGCTGATCTAAAGCTAAGCTAAAGCTAAACCTAAAGCTAAAGCTCCCAGGGGACTGGAACCGCGGGGCGGATCCTGGGGGAACCGCCCGGGGCGGTTAGCACTGCCCGGCCCCTTTAAGCAAAGAGAGTAAGAACCCTTCTAGGCAGAGCCTAGGTCGGGAATGACATGTTGTATCGTATTTCATTATCCCCTTACATGTTTCGTTTGTGTCCCAATCGGTGATGCTGCATTTTTCAATGTTCAATTCTGTTGTGTGGCATTCGGCTTCCTGGTTTTCTATTCTAGTATGTTCTTCGCAATATTGCTCTCGACGGGCCAGCGGGGCGTCGCGATACGTCACTCAGTTTGCTTTGTTATGTTCTAGTGCCCACGTTATCATTTGTCATTCGAGTATGGGATGGTGTGTAATCGTTTATTTCCGTCACGTTAAGTTCCGTTGTATGATAAGTCATACCATGTTCCGCCATGGTTTGTATGCCTTCACTCGATGAGAATATTGCGCGCTATGCGTTGTTATGCGATCCTATGTTCTGCTGCATCCCAGTGCACTACATCATATTGGTAATTGATGTGCGAAGGTATATGCTTGTTTATACGGATGTATTCAAGCTGATTATGTTACATTATGGTATGCGATGTTATTGTTATGTTATCTTCTTTTATGTTCTGTTCTGATCTGTTCTGCTCTGTCATGTGACGGCCCACTGGGGGATCCCCGCGGGATCCCCGCGGGACCCCTGCTGGTCCCGGGGATCTGACCGCCGTGTCATGTGGCTGTCCGCGAAGGACACCCCGCGGTCATGAGCCATGAGCCGCGGTCGGCCCCGCGAAGGGAACCCCGCGGTCATCATTGTTTTTCCTGACGTCTGCCATGAGCCTTCTACGTCCTCGGACGGTCTCAGTTTCTCCAGGTGCCGGCGCTCCCTCCCCGCGCCCCGCCCGTCGTCCCTCTGCTCTTCCCTCGTCCCCCCGCTCTTCCCCCCGCTTTTCCCTTTTCCCCTCCCCTATTTACGGCGGCCACCGCTTGCTGGAGGATCTTGCACATTGGTTTCCGCAAGCGAGGACACACGCGTGCAGCCGAAAGGCCAGGCTGAGTCAAAAAGAAAAACCTTACCCACAAGTGGACAACATCCGCGGTGACACCGACAGCGAGTCCTGTTCAGAATGCGCAGGAACTGCTGTGAGGTCTTAGTACACATTCTTTCCTAACCCTTTCTTGATCGTGCGTGCGGAGGATGCCTCGGCCGGCGCTGTCCACGTCCTGCGGGCCGGCCCCACGCTCCTCCCCCCTTTCTCCCTACCCACCTCCACCTCCCTCGGTGTCGCCCGTCCCTCCTTGAGAGGAGGAGGAGGACGAGGATCTTTTAAATGGGATGTTGATGATGATGATGCTGATGACAATGGTAACGATGATGATTGATGATGCTGGTGATGTTGATGCTGATGCTGATGCGGATGATGATGATGATGATGATGATGATGATGATGATGATGATGGTGATTATTATTATTATGATGATGATGCTGATGATGATGATGATGATTATGATGATGATGGTGGTGGCGGTAATGATGATGGCGATGGTGACGGTGATGATTAGTATGATGATGTTGATGGGTGGTGGTGGTGATGGTGTTGATGATGTGGATGCGGATTATGACGTGGATGATGAAGATGTCTATGTATGACGATGGGAACGATGCGGATGATGGTGATGCAGCTGATGCCGATGCTGGTTCGAGTGCGGATGATGATGATGATGTTGATGATGTTGATGATGAGCATCATGATGATGGCGATGCTGATGATAATGCTGAGGATGATGCTGAGGATGCTGGTGGGGCTGCCAGTGATGGTGGTGCTGAGTAGGATTGTGATAGCGATGATGATTGTGGTCATGATGATGATTATGCCGATGATGATGATGATGATGCTGATGATGATGATGATGATGATGATGGTGATGATGATGATAATGATGATGATGATGATGATGATGATCATGATCATGATCATGATGATGGTGGTGATGATGATGGTCATTCTGTTTCTGATTATGGTGATAATGATGATGGTGATGATGATTGTGCTGTTGATGCTGATGGTGGTGGTGACGATGACGATGATGATGGTGATGATGGGGATGATGATCATGATGATGGTCATGATGATGATGGTCATGATGATGCTGTTAATGCTGACGATGCTGATGCTCATGATGGTGATGATGATGGTCATGATGATGGTGATGATGCTGATGATGATGATGCCGTTAGTGGTGGTGATGATTGTAATGATGTTGATGTTGATGATGATGATGATGATGATGATGATGATGATGATGATGATGATGATGATGATGATGATGAGGAGGAGGAGGAGGAGGAGGAGGAGGAGGAGGAGGAGGAGGAGGGGGACGATGACAGGAGGAGCCGCAGGAGGAGCAGGAGGAGGAGGAGGTCGAGAACGTCGTCGTCGTCTTCGTCTTCCAGCCAGGTTCAACTCTCTGATCGAGGTGACCAAAATCGGCAGCTTCCGCACGAAGCCCGTGCCGCTGGACATGGAGCTCGGCACGCAGGCTGGCAAGGCGCCCGCGGGGGTGGCGTGCGCGGAGGCAGCCCAGGAGGGCGAGGAGGAGAGGGTGGGAAGGAGAGGGAAAGGGGGGTACTTACGATTGGGGGGAAAGAGGAGGAGATGTACAGCCAAGACGCTGAAATGATGAACACTTTGGGTTCGGAAGGGGCTGGATGTTCCTCAGGTCTTTCCGTGGCTGTTCCTCTAGCGCTCCTCGTCCAAGCAGGCGCTCTTGGGGCCACAAAGGGGCTCGTTCCATTTCTAGCGTTCCTTATTTCAGCGACCTGATTGTTCGGGAGAATGGAGAAAGGGATGGGCCGGACGGGTTGAAGGAGGGAGGGGGCGGCGGGACAGGGAAAACTATCTCGGGAGGTTTTCAGGGGCTCTCTGAGGGGGTGGAGGGAGACGTGGAAGGAGTGGAGGGAGACGAGGAGGCATAGGCAGGAATGCGACTCCGCGGTTCAGGTGACGGGTGCAATGAGTTGTTTGCGGACCCCTTTGACGCAATGAAAGAAAGAACGGCGTGAGGCTTTTCAAGACCTAGGCCTCGATGAGGATTGGCGAGGTAGGAGCTGGAGGATATCAGTGATGTTGAAAGTGAGGTTAGGGCGAAGGGAAGGTGAAGGAAAATGATGGGGTCGAGACGGGGATGGGAGGAGAAGGTGGAGGGGTCTGTTAGTCATAACGATGATGGTGATGGTGCTAGTGACGGCGAGGGTAATTCCGATGATGTCGATGATTATGATGACGATGATGATGGTGTTGCTGCGGATGATGACGACGATCAGCTAATTATCCCAGTGCGACCCTACCTAGGAGTTGGAGCATCTAGGAAAGCAGCATATACATCTACAACGACAGCTACATTAACATGCTGCGCGATGTTATGCTATGCTATGCAATGCTGCGCTATGTTATGCGATGCTATGCTGCGCTATGCTATGCTATGCTATGAGTTGCTATGCTATGCTGCGCTATGCTATGCTATGATTGGCTATGTTATGATATGCTATGCTATGCGAATGCAGCGCTGCGCTATGCTAAGGTAAGCTAAGCTAAGCTAAGCTAACCCTCTAAGCAGAGCCTAGGTAGGGAATTACACCCATGATATGATATGCGATGCTGCGCTATGCTATGCTACGCTATGCTGTGCTCTGCTATGCTAAAGCTCAGCGAAGCTAAGCTGAAGGTAAGCTAGCTAAGATAAACCTGAGCTAAGATGAACCCAAGCTAAGATAGTATGAACTAAGACAAAGACATACACACACACGCACACACACACACATGGATACATGCATACATACACAAATGCATAATTACGTGCATGCACACGCGCATGCATACCTTGGTTTTACGTTTGCTGTTGCTTTGCTTTGTGTTGTTTCTGCTTTGCTTTGCGTTGTCTTCGACAAGTTTGCTTTGTGTTGTCTTCGTTGATTTTGCTATGCTATGCTATGCCGCGCTATGCTATGCTATGATATGGTATGCTATGCTATGCTGCGCTATGCTTTGCTATGCTAGGCTATGTTATGATATGCTATGCTGCGCTATGCTATGCTATGCTATGCAATGCGATTCTATACAATGCCATGCTATGCTATGATGCGCTGTGTTATGCTAATCTATGCTATGCTAAGCTATGCTAAGCTATGCTATGCAATACTGTGCTATGGTATGCTATACTGTGCTATGCCATGCTATGCTATGCTATGCTACGCTCAGCTAAGCTACATTAGGCAAGCCAAGCTAAGCTAAGCTAAGCTAAGCCGAGCTAAGCTCAGCCAAGCTAAGCTAAGACGAGATAAGCTAAGCCAAGCTAAGGGGGCGCTATGCTAAGCTATGCTAAGGTATGCTATGCAATACTGTGCTATGTTATGCTATGCTGTGCTATGCTATGCCATGCTATGCTATGCTACGCTAAGCTAAGCTACATTAGGCTAAGCTAAGCTAGGCTAAGCTAAGCTAAGCTAAGCTAAGGTAAGCCAAGCTAAGCTAAGCTAAGTTAAGCCAAGCTAAGCTAAGCCAAGCTAAGCTAAGACGAGATAAGCTAAGCCAAGCTAAGGGGGCGCGACTGGGGGAACCGCGGGGCGGGGACTGGGGGAACCGCCCGGGGCGCTTTCCACTGCCCGGCCCCTTTAAGCTAGAGAGTAAGAACCCTTCTAGGCAGAGCCTAGGTAGGGAATGATAATGATTGCGATGATGGCGACTACCGACGACGATGGTTCAAATTATGAAAATGCCGATGGTAATACGGATGGTGGTGGTGATGAGGACGATGGCAATAATGCAGATGGTAAAGCCGAATATAGTACGTTGTTGCTGGTGGTGATTGTGTTGGTGATGACGAGTTTGATGATGCTTGAGGATGCTGGCGGTGGTGTTGATAGCGATGCTGCTGCTGCTGCTGGTGATGCCATTGGTGGTGATGACGATGGTGGTGAGGATGCTGGTGAATGGCGATGGTGATAGGGATTGTGATGTTGATGAATTTGGTGATGATGGTGGTGGTGATGAAGATGATGGTGATGCTGATGGTTATGTTGACGACGGTGGTGGTGGCGATGATGATGGGGACTCGGCGCCGCGCCCAGCGCCCCGCACCGCGGAGCAAGGCCCAGATGCTGCTCAGCAAGGACGAGTTCGTGACCTGCCTCACGAGCAGCCCCCTGCTGAGCGAGCCCCTGCGCCAGCTGTCCTCGAGGACGGCTCCTGTGTTCTGCATGGGCTCAGGAGAGCAAGAAGTCATCATAAAGATATAGTCCCAACGTTTTCAAGCCTTCCTATTGATCCTAGCGACCCTCGTTTAACGAGGGTCGCTAGACGCTCTAGGGTTCTTTGACCAGACGATGAGCCAATCATCTGATGACATCATTCTCGTCATGTGGTTGGCGACGGCGAGGAAACGCAGACACAGCTGTCGCAGTGCTCTCATACCGTATTGTGTCATCCTGATCTTGCCCCCTAGTCTTTTCCTGGCGCTCTCCTGTTCTCATCCTCGCCCACCTAGCGTTGCCGTCGCCGTCGCCGTCGCCGTTGTCGTCGATGGAGGTCCCTGGAAGTCCGGCCAGGTTCTCAGAGCTCCCCGGAGGTCTCCATAGACTGAAATGCACGAATAGGAGGAGGGAGAGGATGGGGACGGAGAGGAGAGGGAGTGCCCGACTTATCGCTTCCGTCGGTGGAGAGGAGGGGGGCAGGAAAGAGAGTGCCCAACCCATCTTCCGCTCCAGGCTCCCGTGCTCAGGGTGCCATGCGCTCCTCTCTGACTCCTTTCGCCCTTCTCGCCCCTCAAGTGTCTGCGCGCATTCTTTGGGGGAAGGGGCTTTGTCCGAAAGTGTTTGGTTGTGTCTGTGCTTTCATTCAATATTTTTGTGGCCTCCGACCAGTGCCGCCGATCTGGGGCGCTCCCGATGGTGCTGGGGTTCGCTCGGAGGCCTCTGGGGCCCTCGTGGAGCCGTCATAGAAGGAAACTTTTTGAGGGGGTGTTTGAGCCTCTTGAGGGCTTCTTGTAAGCTTTTGCCATCTTTCAGGCTATCTTTGCCGTCTCGGGGGCCTATGGTGCCGTTTTGGGACCATCTTGGAGCCGTCTTCGGAGCCTCCTGGGCCGTTATAGGACCATTTTGGAGGCCTATGGGGCGATCTTGGGGGCGTTTGGGGTCGTCGGAAGGCCGAAAATAATGAGGCGCCCAAATCTTCAAAAACATGTAGATTTTCCCAACAACTCAACAATACGCGGTGCCACAAAAAAAACTTCACTCGCACGCAACGGCCAACAGCATCGCCTCGCAACGGGCACCATGCGCGAGCTGATGGCGGTATCGCCTCGCAGCTGGCGCCATGCCCGAGCTGGTGGCGGAGAAGCCTATACGAGTGACGCTCGCAAGAGCATCAATGGAGGGAATCGTTTGAGCGTTTACACCGAAGGACAACGCAAGCAAACGAACCAGGAAGATGGCCAGCGGAAGAAACGAGGACCAGGAACGAAGCGGACTACGTTCGAGAGTGGCCGAGTTGCACAAGCAGTGAAATGAGAGGAGTATCAAATAATTAGGCTGCGCACCGGGCGCACCCCAGTCCAGTTCCACTGGCCACGGTGTGTGAATCCCATAGGGGCCTCGTCGGCCTACACTAAAACATCAAACACAACAGCACGTGAGGAGGCCCACAAGGACGAAGGAGATGGAGTGAATAATGATAGCTGCACCATCCCTGCAGCGACGAAATAAAAGTGAGCTTGTATACGAATGGTTTTGGCGGGCTCCCAGGGGAGAAAGCAGGTTGAAACTCAATGATTTGGGTCTCTTCGGGGCTTTTTTGGAGGGCATCCTGAGCCATCTTAGGTGCATCTTGAGCCGTCTGGGAAATATCTGGCGGCCATCTTGGGCTTTCTGGCCCCTGGGGGGTGGGCGGATTTTCACTTGTCCCACCCCTGCCCAGAAAACGGAGCACAGGCGTATTAGGACCCCCCCCTTCCCTTGCAGAGCCCCCCCCAACCACTCCCCCCAGCAGAGCTGGCACGTTTCGCAGTGGGCTGCTGGCATGGCCATCTTGTGGGGCCTGTCAGGCAAATTGTTGCGGAGGCGGGGAAGGACTGCTGCAGTCCTTCCCACCCCGCCCGTGCTGAAACCTTGCGTGTGGCTGTCTTGCCAGAGAGCGAATTCGGAACGATCCTCGCGTGACGTTCACGGGATTCCCTCCCCACGCCCGCAGCAGCGGTCGTGGCTCAGCAACAGTGCCGGCAGCAGCGGCAGGAGGATTCAAGACCGATCCCTGGACTTGTCCTCGGGTGCGCTCCGACCAGACTCTCAGAGGGAATCCGGCCTGGGCGACGAGCGTTGCCGAGTCCGAGCGTGAGCGCGCGCGCCGCCCCAGCGACAACCGCGTGGAGAGCGCGCCCAAGAAGGACCCGATCGCGCTGCAGGTGACCGTGAGCGACCCCAGCAGGACACGCGGCCCGCCGCCCCTGCCCTCGCTGCTGGCAACGGGGCGGTGGTCGGACGGGGCCGGGACGAGGATGGGTCCGTTCCAGAGCGTTCCGGAACGCTCTCAGAGCGTTCCGGCACGCTCTGAGAAGGGCCGCGGCGCCCGAGACGTTCTCTAGAGCCGCTGGATCTCGGAGATTCTCGATCTAC